GTCACTCGGTGGAGCCGCTGCTCTGATATTCTAGTGTTGGTAGGTGACTTTAACACAGGTTGTAAAACTGAGCACATCAAAAATCTATCTACGAGGGCATTGCGCTCTTCCCACCCAGCGAACAGTCAACGGCGATCGACTACTTCAGTTCTGCGCGGATCATCGGTTGTTCTTATCCAGCACCAACTTTCGACACAACTCTCGTCGAACGGCTACATTGTCTTCTAGTTCAACGGGAAAGTTGACCTTAATTGACCACAAAGCTGTAAGCTACCGTTGGTGTGGTTCAGTACAAAATTGCAGATCATATTGGACCACCAGCGTTGAGTCGGACCATGTATTAGTTCGGTTACAATTCACCCTTCGACTCATCAGTCATAGGCAGAAATGGACTCCTCAGTTAGCTCATCAGTTTTCAGTCTTTACAACCATTAACCATACACTTTTGTGCGACGGTTTTGGTTAGCTCATCATCGTCTGCGCGATCCATCTGTCTGCACACGTTATCAGGAGAAGCTGGAACAGGAACTAAGAAAACCGCGACATAGTGGAGTAGACCAACAGTGAAACCAAATTAGAATTGCGATGCACTCCGCAGCAAACTTTGCTTGTGGGACCGAGCCCGCAGTTCGCCGAAGACACTGAATCTTTCAGGAGTCAGTAATCTTGATGGATTAAAAGCGAAAGATCCCAATCTGCTAGGATCAGTATAGGGATCGCTGGCGCCTGCAACGTCAATTCAGGAAAAGCCTTAAGAACGCGAAAATTGGTGGGCCAAAATAGCGAGTGAAATGGAGGTAGCTTCTGCATCAGGGGATGGTCAAAGACTGCTTCACCTGAATCGCAATACCGGAGGTCGTCGCATGCCGGTCAGTGAACAGAGTATCCACAATAAAGAACGACTTGATCAATGGTCAGAGTATTTTAGTGAACAGTTCAATTGGCCTTGTGCTAATGCGGTTATTCCAGCAATTGCAGCGGAAATCCCATGGGTGGTAACATGTGAGCCCCATCGGAATTGGAAGTTCGAAGAAAGAAAGGGAAGGCTGCGGGACCTGACGGGCTTCTCCCTATTCTTTTCAA